TACTAATTATTTTATAGGCTCTATGGTGTAATTTCACCGTCCCTCAGTCTAAAAAAGATGGTAAGAATTGTATATATTTTGGTTGTTATATTATATTTTCCACACATAAAGTAAAAAAAAGAAAAATAAAGGGGAAAAAAACAATTATTTTATTATTAGTATAATTAATAAATTTTTATTTAAAAATTTATTTTCATGTAATTTAAAAAAATATTTTTTACATTTATTTTTTATTTATTATTTTTGTTGTTTTATTTATTACTTTTTTATTTTTAATGTATTATTTGTATTTTTTCATTTATTATTTTTATCAGTATATAATTTAGATTTTTTATTTAATTATTTATTATGTTTACTTAATTTTTGTGTCTTTTTATTGCATGTTTTTATTTATTTATTGCATTTTTAATTGCATTGTCTCTTGTCAGTAGCAAGTATATGATGCTAAATGTTTTTTTGTTGTTGTTGAGTGATTGTTTTCCCCATGATCTTCAGTAAAGGATGTTGTGGAGCAGACGGTGTGTATCGTCCAGAGCACCTGTGTGAATAATTTTAGATAATTTTTTAGTGATTTAGTTGTGCTTTTTTGCTTTTATTTATTTATTTTTTATTGTTTTTGTTTAGCTTTTATTATTATTTTGGTTTCTGTTTTTAGTGGGTTTAGTACTTCAACTAAAACTTATTTTATTTCAGTTAGTTGCCTAGACAACATTTCAAAATTTAGTTTAAGTTTTTCTTCCTGTGCTTTTATATTAAAATTTTTTTTTAGCTTTATTTTACTTAACGAAAAAGTTTTTTTTTTCTTTAGTTGTTTTGTAATATTTAACAATAACAGTACTTTACCTTAGGAAGGAAAGTTTAAGATTATCAACATTATTAAGTAAGCATTTGTATATCTGAGGTAAATTGTGGTTGTGCAATCAGTAATTATTTTTAATTATGGCATACAGTTTCATGGTCGTGCGCTTACATTCTCCATGGTCTTCTGTCCTGGAACTCCATCCAGAAATATATTTTTTTCAGTGGCCATGAAACTATATTTAGTATTTTTTAAAGTGACTATTTCATTGTGTCATTTGCAGCATCATATTCAAGATGAGTCAGTCTCTGTAAAAATCTGCACCTCTGACAAAAACATGACAACCCCTTGTGATTTATTTCCCCTAATATATTTGTTTTGGTGGCTTAATGTGAGAAATATTTCATAATGTGTCACCACATACAAAACCTCCTAAATAAACCTACGATGGTCCCAGATAAACAGATGTTTTCTTTAGTAGAAGGACTGTATTTTTTTTTATTTGATTCGCTCATGTTGTTTGCGTCAGTAAGAGTCAGACTGACGTTCATGTAATTCAATTTAAACCATGTATTATTTCCTAATAAAGCTACTGGCCAACTTGGTCGTAAAGTTTTCTTATTGACTTACCAAAACCATACATTTGGCACTTGGAAAATGTTAGCCTTGGACATTGGGGAAAACCATTGAATTAACTTTATAATAATGACTTGGATGCGTTGTGGATCTCTGGACTTTTGACCTTAGAATGTGTCATATGTTAATGCTCTTGTTGTTCCCACTCATTGGTCCAGGTCTGTTTGAGTCCCGTCTCCAGTACGTTTCAGACAGTGCTCTGAGAGTAGTGTACACCTGCCACGAGCCCTCCATTATCATGACATACGACACACAGCAGTGCACACACACTGTCTGGACCCTGCGCAAAGTCACACCTGAGGTATGTTTGCATCACTCAGACATTATGATATACATACCTTATGTTTCCAAGTTTTTATTTTAATGGTTAAAGCATGACATCATGTGAACTGTTAATGTTCTAATTAGAAGGACTGTATTTTTTTATTTGATTCGCTCATGTTGTTTGCGTCAGTAAGAGTCAGACTGACGTTCATGTAATTCAATTTAAACCATGTATTATTTCCTAATAAAGCTACTGGCCAACTTGGTCGTAAAGTTTTCTTATTGACTTACCAAAACCATACATTTGGCACTTGGAAAATGTTAGCCTTGGACATTGGGGAAAACCATTGAATTAACTTTATAATAATGACTTGGATGCGTTGTGGATCTCTGGACTTTTGACCTTAGAATGTGTCATATGTTAATGCTCTTGTTGTTCCCACTCATTGGTCCAGGTCTGTTTGAGTCCCGTCTCCAGTACGTTTCAGACAGTGCTCTGAGAGTAGTGTACACCTGCCACGAGCCCTCCATTATCATGACATACGACACACAGCAGTGCACACACACTGTCTGGACCCTGCGCAAAGTCACACCTGAGGTATGTTTGCATCACTCAGACATTATGATATACATACCTTATATTTCCAAGTTTTTATTTTAATGGTTAAAGCATGACATCATTATGTGAACTGTTAATGTTCTAATTAGTGCTGTCAAACGATTAATCGCGATTAATCACATCCAAAATAAAGGTTTTTGTTTACATTACATATGTATGTGTACTGTTTATATTTATTATGTATATATAAATACACACACATACATATAAAATATTTACATGTATATACATTTATATATTTATATTCTTATATTGTATATAAATATATTTAATATATAAACAACATATTTTTCTTAAATATATACATGCATGTGTTTGTATTTATACATAATAAATATACACATTATACGCACATACAGTATATTATGTAAGCAAAAACTTTTATTTTGAACGCGATTAATCGCGATTAATCATTTGACAGCACTAGTTCTAATGTTTGATATTAGATTTAACGTTGAGTGTCAAATGTCATCAAGTCTAAAGACTGGTTTGAATAAGATCACTAGCACAGGTGTCTTTGACTCTCTTTGTTTTTATCAATAAATGATAGATAAATACCTTTAATGGCTAATATAAGTACTTTCCTTAAATGTCCCATCCAGATTTAAAGTCATTCGCAATCTTTTTATATCAGAATTTTTCTTTGAAGCTCAATAACAATGTGAAATATCATGTAGGCCTATTACAATGAGAAAACTACTGTGGTACTAATAAAACATTTTTAATAGATATTTAGTTTTTTTCCTTAAAAGAGGAATTTAATGCGTCTTAATGTACTACTTTTTAAAAAGTAGCACATTCATTTAAATCTAAGCATCTAGTTTAGAATGTTGATGTGCTTTTTTCAGGAGCAGACGACAGTGTTAAAGTGTCCAGACCAACCTGGGCCGGTTCACACTCCCAATGCGGCCCCCAGCTTCCTCAGCACCCACCTGAGAAATGTGACCCGGCTGGACTCGCCTGCCTCGCCCTTACACTGCCACGCCCTGCACAACCAGAGCCGAATCCCCACCTCCCCAGGCCTGCACTCACGTGTTCACTCGCCCAGCATTTCAAACATGGCTGCTCTCAGGTATGTCCATGCAGGAGGTTACTGGATACGTTTGGAAAAACATACTATTCATGCTTTTTCTGCAGTATGTATACTGTACACAGGATGCAAATTTGCTGTAGGCAGTAGAAGTGTTATATGAAAAGTTGATTTATATACAGTCATTCAAGATTTTGAGGTCAGTAAGATTTATTTCCTGATAGAATTTTTTTTTTTTTCCCCAGCAAGGGGAAAAATGTACCCATTACATTGATCAAAAGTGACAGTAAAGATATTTAAAATGTTGCAAAGATTCTAGTTCATGTGTATTTATGGGTACACAGAGCAGTTGAGATACTATGATTTTATTTAATTTTTTTCATGCTGACCTTATAGTGAACATGACCTTATAGTTTTTGCAGTACTCTTTTCTGCTGTTATTATGCATATTTCATCTGTACTATTTGGAAGTTAAGTTATTGAAAGTTGAACCATGTTGGTATATGTTTATTAATAGCCAAACACTCACTTTTAACCATGCAATAAATTGTAAAATCAGAGTTGCAAATGTTTCCATGTAGAGTCACATTTCAAATCCATTGTGATTAGATCTTGCTGCTTCCTATTATGATGAGGGATTTACACCGTTTAAATAATCGTGACGCTTGTAAATCTTGAACATCAGCTATAAGTGTCTTCCTCTTTTCCTCCACTGTCGTCATCAAGACCTAAATTTCACATTCTCTTAATTTCTTCCAAGGACATTCATACAATGCTGGTGCTTGAGGCCAATGGAAGTCTGGTCTTGTACACAGGAGTCACACGGGTGAGGCTTGATTTCATCTGCATTTTTCACCTCTGAAATGACATTATTAGTGGCCTGAATCATTTTTCCACTTTCAGCTCAGTCTGACTATGCTGTAATATGCAGCGTGTCTGCCATGCATAGTTCTCTTTTATTAAAAAAGCCAAAGGCATCTGTGCAGTACAATTTGCACTCAAAGCCTAGTGCTGAGTCTAATACATCATCTCATTCCATCATGTTCCCCACCAATCACTAGAGATTTGAAAATTGGTTCCAGGTGAGTCACTCATATCTGGGTGAGAGACTGTCATTAGTGCTGGAGAGAACGCAGGGATTCTTTACAGGCGCACAGGATATCTGTTTATACTGTTAGATTCATATAATTTATTAATGTTATAAGATGGTACTTACAGATGTATGCATGATTGATGCATAAAAAGCCCTTTTTTCTGCAGTACTGATGATGCTGTGTGTTTCAGATGTGGATGACTCACCTCGAACCAATTTTCTAGTTCTAATTCTCTAGGGATTGGTTGAAAATATGACTGATCAATGTGACCTATCCCACAGAATACAAAGGCTGCATCCCAACGCTATCCAATATTATTTGTCATATATAGTATGTTATTTGTCATATATAATATAAAAATAGTGATTTTTAATAAAATAGCCTTTCCCAATTTCTCATTTCAGGCATTCTTAGCTGTCAAATAAAATAAATAAAATAAATTGTGTATATAACCATGTATGTATATGTCTGCATATGTGTGTGTATATTAATTATAATATATTAAATATATTGTAATTATATTTATTGAAAGTTGAACCATGTTGGTATATGTTTATTAATAGCCAAACACTCACTTTTAACCATGCAATAAATTGTAAAATCAGAGTTGCAAATGTTTCCATGTAGAGTCACATTTCAAATCCATTGTGATTAGATCTTGCTGCTTCCTATTATGATGAGGGATTTACACCGTTTAAATAATCGTGACGCTTGTAAATCTTGAACATCAGCTATAAGTGTCTTCCTCTTTTCCTCCACTGTCGTCATCAAGACCTAAATTTCACATTCTCTTAATTTCTTCCAAGGACATTCATACAATGCTGGTGCTTGAGGCCAATGGAAGTCTGGTCTTGTACACAGGAGTCACACGGGTGAGGCTTGATTTCATCTGCATTTTTCACCTCTGAAATGACATTATTAGTGGCCTGAATCATTTTTCCACTTTCAGCTCAGTCTGACTATGCTGTAATATGCAGCGTGTCTGCCATGCATAGTTCTCTTTTATTAAAAAAGCCAAAGGCATCTGTGCAGTACAATTTGCACTCAAAGCCTAGTGCTGAGTCTAATACATCATCTCATTCCATCATGTTCCCCACCAATCACTAGAGATTTGAAAATTGGTTCCAGGTGAGTCACTCATATCTGGGTGAGAGACTGTCATTAGTGCTGGAGAGAACGCAGGGATTCTTTACAGGCGCACAGGATATCTGTTTATACTGTTAGATTCATATAATTTATTAATGTCATAAGATGGTACTTACAGATGTATGCATGATTGATGCATAAAAAGCCCTTTTTTCTGCAGTACTGATGATGCTGTGTGTTTCAGATGTGGATGACTCACCTCGAACCAATTTTCTAGTTCTAATTCTCTAGGGATTGGTTGAAAATATGACTGATCAATGTGACCTATCCCACAGAATACAAAGGCTGCATCCCAACGCTATCCAATATTATTTGTCATATATAGTATGTTATTTGTCATATATAATATAAAAATAGTGATTTTTAATAAAATAGCCTTTCCCAATTTCTCATTTCAGGCATTCTTAGCTGTCAAATAAAATAAATAAAATAAATTGTGTATATAACCATGTATGTATATGTCTGCATATGTGTGTGTATATTAATTATAATATATTACATATATTGTAATTATATACAAAATAATTTAATCATAATACCTTTACTAAGTATTATTAGTGAAATTAATGTATTTAAATGTGTATTTATATTTAATAATACTAACACTAATATATATATATATATAATCAGTTATATAACAATAATAATAGTAATAAAAATAATAGTTTTAATTTGATAATTATTACTCTTCTATTCTTCTAATCTATTCTATAATATTCTTGTTATGTATCTAATGTTTTATATATATTACAAGGAAATGACAATCTCACAAGTTTTGGTTTTTAGACATTCACACATACCTTAAATAAAATACATAGAAACTTAGAAAGCTAAAGTATGGACTAATTAAAGAATGTTACTGACTCACTGACCCTTGATGATAAAGAATACAAATTTGACTTGTCTTATTCTGGATCCTATTTGGGTTTAAAATCTTTCAGCGAATGCTTAACACACTGATATAAATAGGCTAACAGTGTGTAGTATCAAGAGACACTTTTATCCTGTAGTGGCATGTGGTAGCCCAATACTTTACATACATAAAAATAATTATTTTTCCCATCACCTTCAAAGTAATTCAGCTTTAAGCCTTTGGTAACACAAAATCATCATGTTTTAAGCTAGTAATCATGAATGTTTTGCTTCCAGGTCAGCAAAGTGTTTGTCCCTGGCCTTTTGTCTCCTACCTTCAGTGTGCAAAACCACCAGCCGCAGTTAAGCACCCCTCTGGAGAACATCAGCACCCCCGCAAGGGCCACGGTTCAGCATATGAGCCGACTGGAGGAGGTACTATAATGTGCTTATTGCGGGATCGTGTGCGTTTTATTGTAGCCGATTAGTGAAACACTAATTGAGTCATATATGTAAGACAAGACAGCGTTCTTCAAGAGGACTCTTGATATTGTGTCCTAATGCTAATGGCCATCCGCTTTGTTCCTACAAATGGATCGATATCAGTATTAAATCACAGTAATATGGCCAGCTCCATTATTTTTCTTCTTAAACAACAAAAACAACTTGGCTCTCGACTGGTTTGATAATCTAATTGTGTGAAACAGAGATCAAGTAGTCCATATGAGTGATAGTATGCTTAATAAATTATTAATCGTATCCCATATGAGTGTATTTATGGATATTGTGTTAGAAGAGAAGTGCTTTTTAGAGCCACCATTTAACATGAAGTATTGCACTATTGATAAAAGCTTCTCTAGTCCCTGCAAATGTCTCCTAAACCACAAACAGAATTTTATTCACTACAGAACTACATTAAGGGCAGATGATGTACTTGTGTGGACAAACACATTTCAATCACAGTTTGTTCCTTTTTTATGATGGTTATTTACTACCAGTAATGGTTAAGAGAGCTGCAAATATCTTTATAAACAATATTTTTTAAGCTTTCCATGCCTTTCGGCCAGAGAACTGGTCCCCTGACTGAGCCTGGTTTCTTCCAATTTTAGTTTTTCTCCATTTCTGTCACCTTATGGAGTTTGGGTTCCTTGCCACTGTTGCCTTTATCTTGCTTAGTTGGGGATTAAAAGACACTTAAAGGAATAGTTCACCCAAAAATGAAAATTTGCTGAAAATTTGCTTATTCTCAGGCCATCCAAGATGTACATTAGTTTGTTTCTTCATCAGAACAGATTTGTGGAAATGTGGCATTATCTCACTTTTTTACCAGTGGATGCTCTGCAGTGAATGGGTGCCGTCAGAATGAGAGTCCAAACAGCAGATAAAAACATCACAGTAATCCACACCATGCCAGTCCATAAGTTAATGTTTTGTGAAGTGAACAGCTTTGTGTGTATGGATGAAATAAATCCATCAAGACATTTTTAACTTCTAATTGTTGCTTCTGGCTAACATACAAGTGTACACCCATAATATTGCCACCCCATAAGAAATATGTGGGTGTATTTTGAAATGAGAGTTTTTTTTCACTGGAGGAAGCACGATTATGGATTAACTTTACCTGGATCAGTTTTGTACAAACATGCAGCTTTTTGATCCACAAGACATTAATTGATGGACTGGTGTCTTGTGGATTATATGTGGATTATTGTGACATTTTTATCAGCTGTTTGGACTCATTCTGACGGCACCCATTCACGGCAGAGGATCCATTGGTGAGCAAGTGATGCAATGCTACATTTCTCCAAATCTGCTCTGATCTTGAATGGCCTGAGAGTTATTACATTTTCAGCAAATGTTCATTTCTGAGTCAACTGTTCTTTAATATTCAAAAACATAACCAATTTGAACAAAACATGAATTGAGCCAAAAAATAACACTGTTCAGCAGAGCTATTTTATAGCTGAATCAAATGTATTTATAATTGACGAATTTTGCGAAATCAAAAATGAAATGAATTAACATTGAAATGGCCTGAGCTGAATATCCACACTACTTTCTTCATTTGAGCTGCTTATTGCTGAATTGAACTAGTTTCATAATAAATGACCTTTACACAGTAATCAAACTGAACTGACTTAAGTTGAATAATGAGCATTAACCTCATCAAACTTGAACATGGAACACCTTGCATCACCTTGCAGTAGTGTTGTGTTTTTTTGTGTTTTATGCCATATCTGTTCATGGTATTCCTCATCTCCTGCTGTCAGGTTGGCATGCCGTCTCCTGTGTTGGAGGTGCGCAGCACGACGCAGCACCATGAGTCGTCCTGGCTGGAAGACTCTTCATTCCAGCAGGCTGCACCTCACATCCACACCCTCCGAGACCCCGTCAGCAACAGAGTCACGCTGGTCAGTGCAACTCATCACCTCTAACCAACTCTCAGCATACAGTTCATTGATGCTCTAGTGTCATTAAGATGCTTGATATGATTATCAGTGATTACAATTCTGTGGATCACAGAAATTACGGAAATGCTCTTTTAGAGATGAGGAAGAGGGCTATACAAACAAGATGCACTGATACTGATGGCTGATTATTTTTATGAATGGATGATAACTGATGATGGCTGGTATTAAGCTAAATTTATTTAGTTATTTATTATTTAAAAAAATATTCTTCGTAAAGCTGCAGTGTAAAATATTTTAATGCATGCATGCTTCTAAGTAAAACCAGACATTAAAAACCTTAGTCACATAGAAACTGAAGTAGCAACATAATTTTGATTTAAACATTATTAAGTCACAAAAAAATGCACATGAATTATTCACAATAAGATCTATAATGAGTATTTACAGAATAGATTTTCAGAGTATATTTCAATTTCATCTTAACAGACTGACACTTTAGTACTTTTGAAAACTTTATATTTAAGAAAATCAGATCTGATATGATCAATTTCCAGTATTAGCTGATTCCGACCAATCCTGATTAATATATATTATATATTGGCTGACACTGATATAATTACCAATATATTTTGGATCTCTACTATACAGTGTGCAGTATAGTTGTTTAGACACTTTTTTTACCGTCTTACAATTTATGTACACTGTAAAAAATGATCGTTAAAAATTCCTAATTTTAACTGTAGAAGACTAAAACTACTACAATAGAAACCTTACTATAGTAGTTCCCTTACTGTATATGGTGAAAAACTGTAAAATATGTAATGAGACATTTTATGTAGTGTTACAGTATATGCTATTAAATGTAATACTAAATGAAAATTATACTATTAAGTTTTGTAAGTGAAAAA